GAAGAATCTTTCCTGTCATAGTTTTTGAAGTTACCTGCTTTCTTGACATGCCTTCTGTATGACATGCCATGTCATACAGAAACTTGGCTTCATTGAAGCATATAGTCATGAGGAGACACTTTTTTTTTTTTCCTTTTTTTTTTTGACTGGTGGAAGTCTGTCATCGCTGACTGCTTTGGAGTCCCATCTGCTCACAGGTGTCAAATTTAGTCCAGCTTGTGTTCTTGTGTTCAGCTATATTCTTTACCCCTAGATGCATACATGTAAGTCTTGTATATATTTCTTACCTAGCAATAAAATGTTGAGTCCTTCTTTTTTTTTTAAAAAAAAAAAAAAAAAAAAGATTCCTTCTAAGATGTTTGAGTATAGTGCAAATCCTGTCCAGCATGGATAACTCTCAAATTTCAACCAGCTTTTATAGGGACATTAACATCTCAAAGATAATGGATTTTGAGGAGTTTTATGAAACTAAAGAACTAGTTCGAAAAGGCTTCATTTATGGACTTGTTGAAAGAATGAGAACTCAAGTTGTGCTCATAGAGTCTGCTGGGTTGGATACTGACCCAAGCGCCAGGAGAGACTCAGCTGGACAGTGGAAATTCAACCATGAGATAGCGTTTTAGACTGACTTGTATGAGTTCTGCTATTTGTACTAATACTTTAAAAATCCTTGGCAAAGAAGAGGGAGAGAGTTTACTTTCGTCATTAGCAGCTTCTTATTAAGCAAACAAGTGAACATAGCATGGAACTATGCTGTTTCTTTAGGGTGAAACAAAATCATGCTAATGTAAAATTTTGTGAAATCGCTGTCAGTTTTCCACTGGAATAGGTAGCACAGTATTTCTGTTATATCTTTATTCTCTTTTTTTGTTCTCTCTTTTACAGGCCCATTAGCTTTCATTATTCCCTGTATTCAGATTGTTTTTCTGAAGCTGAATCATGGTTCATGTCTGTTTATTTATCACATTATCCATGTGATAAATTTATGGTCAGCATGGCCAAAATCATAGGCGTAATTGTCTGCCTTCACTAGAAATGATACTGCTGCTCTGAAGTCTCTTTTTGTAAGGCATTTTTCAGGAACTTTCATATGAACAGGAGTACCCACCACAGTATCATTACCAATAGTAAACAAGAATAACCTTTCTGACTTCAGCACTAACTCATAGCATATAGTGATTTTTTTTTGCTGGTCACTGGCCTAAAGCTACTAACTTAACATGAATTCTGAGGACAGCTGTGATTTAAAGTCAGATTAACAGGAGTGTCACCATTATGCGCTTCAGTTGGCCTAAGATGAGAGTCCAGCAATCCTTCTGCTTATTTGCATTGCCTTTAATAGTAGAAGCTCTTTGATCAATTTTGTAGAACACAAGGGGAAATTTCTAAGGTTACTTGACATCTTAAGGATGAGAACCATGAGAAGTTGTAGCTATTGTGACAACAGAAATAACAACTTGGAAGTCATGGTAAATAACAGTGTGGGGAAATGAGTAAAAGGGGGAAGGAGATCTGGCTTAGAATTGTATTATTTATTTCTAGTGTTGGTAAGATGTGGAAACAGGGGACATATAAGAATTATACAGATTTTTAAAAATATATTAATTATGGATTATCAAGGAAAGTTCTTCATAACTTTCTCTGTTAACTTCAGCTTCTTTTGTGAAAACTTCCTTTTCTTGTATTTGAAACTAAATAAATGTCTAGATGCATATATGCATTAGTTGGCACTTTCTTGAAACTGTTCTGTTAAAAGCCTATTTCTATTTTGACACCTTATCCTAAGCCTGGCCTAGGCCTGATCACATAGCAATGAATGATAGAAAAGTGGGTTGCGTCTCCTGCATGTGGTGCTTGCCTGCCTTTAGTCCTCACAGGACTGTGTGAGTCTCAGCCATTGCACAACTACTCATTTTCAGTCTGGCTGTTGTATTGCTGAAATAGTAATAGAGCGTAGAAATAGAGCAGCATATTAGCCTTAATGTTTCCTCTGTACTTTAGTGGACATTTTTACTAGCCTAACTGTGTTACTACAGCAGTCTGTCAGATTGTTTGTTTGTTTGGCATCAAGATATTTCCAGAAAAAATGATTTATTTTCATAATTAGGAGCTAGTTCTTTTCTTAGTTCTTACTCTCTCTTAATCTGTATTAAATGTAGTTCGTCATGGTAGCAAAGGGATGATAACAGACACAAAAGTTTGCCAGTCTTTCTACAGGACTTTTTTTCTTATTGAAAGCTTCTTCCTCATATCCATGTTGAATGTATGTGGTTTTATCTGTGTATGTGAATGTGTAAAAAAGCATGTATATCTGGACATTTACCAAAAGAAAATGGAAGCTGGTCTCCCATTTAATAAACTAATATGATTTCAACTGTATTAATTTCAATTGAATTGAGATAATTCTGGATTAGGAAGGCTTTGTATAGATAAATGAAGAATAAAAATTTTCAGAGATTGATTAGCTGAAGTATATTTTATATACTAGCTTCTGTTTGTATCTGCATGTTTTAGTAGATATAAAATGCAAGTAGCTTTGTAGTGTGCTGCCACAGATGAGTACAGATGAACTAATTTTGCAGTAGCTCTGGCAGTCTTTAATGTAAATCAGTGACTGATTCTATAATGAACTTCATCCTGGAGACATAAACTTGGGCGAATTCCTTTTATTTGAAGAAATAGGTGGTATAAATGTTCATCTTTAAATGTTGAAACATTTTATGTAGCAGTACGGTAAAAATATCTGAAGTTTAGCATCGTTGTAGGAAAAAATACCCTATACAAGTCAGTAAAGAGTCACAGTCATTATTTATCGGACTAGTTAAACTGAAGGGGCTACACTTTTTGCCACACACTATTTGGAGAGCTTTTCATTTAGCAGACCTGTAGTGCAATTACACCATGGATGGGCTGTAGTTCTAGTTTATTGAGAGCAGTGAAAACAGTGCAAGAAAGCTTCACTAATGCAATTCTGCACCTCCTTACAAAGCCCTCTTATTTGCCTCTGAGAAACACTGCTGAGCAGTCAGCAGGCATGGGGAGGCCATCCAGCCACACAGCTTGAGGATCCTTATTCTCCTATAGAAGATTTTTAGAAGTGAAGGACAGCATCACCTCAGGGTTGAACAGCTGAACTTCTGCTGACTTAAATTGGCTTTACTTGCATATTATTACTCTACCTTTTATATGTTAAGATTATGACCTGAGGTGTGTTGAAGGTCTAGTTCTATTCTGTACTGCAAGAGAATTGAATAGTAGTTCAGGTCAAATATGTATGTGTTAACTACACATCTAATATTTGTATTCAGCTTATTTTTTTTAAAGTATTCAGGGACTTTTTTTTTGCTTTTGATAAATGTCAGTCTTAATCCAAACAATTGTGAAGCTTCTATGATTTTTTTTTTATTCTGATGGCCTTTTTTTTATTCTGACCAGTGTTATAGAACTGTTTGAGTTATGGAAATATACATTGGGTTACAGGTATATTTAATTGAGAGGTGAATGGAACACGCTTATGTCTAATATTGAGGAGAGAAACAAAAAAGAATATGGCTGAAGAAATAGGTATAGAGACCCAAAGGGGGTAAAGAATTGGTGTTAAGTTTATGGTAAACAAAGAGCTCTCAAAGTCACCTGAGTGCAGCTTTCGCAATTGTGCAAGGGATTGGGATCAGGAAAACCCTTGTCCAACCTCATAGCTTGATGGTTTGGAGGGCAAACACGAGTTGCTGCTGAGGGTACTCTGACATTCATACGCAGTGAATGTGTGGATCCATCACCCTGGCCCTCCTTCCTTTTCCTTTAGTTTTTACTGGAGCAGAGCAGTCTTTGGCCTGTGCCCCTTCTGCCCTGTCTTTCCTCCTCACACCCACCACAGATCACCTTGTTTTCTGGCAGATGGACTTCAAGGACTGTTAACTCCCAGCTGAGTAATATTGTTTCTGAAGACAGCTGACCCTGGCTCTTCTTGCTACTAAGTAATAGATAGGATTCTATGAGTACAAATTGAAGCAAGGTGGAAAGCTTTTGACTGGGAACATTCAAATTCTAAATACTTCTTTTGTCTTTATTTTGCATAGAGAAATATATTAAAAACTATTTGTTACTTCTGACTTAAAGGGAGAGAAGGGCAGGAACAAAGGATTTGTGTCTTTAGATCCAAGAAAGGGGAGAAAGCAAAACAGTACAAAACCCTGCAAAGTTAATTCATTTTAAAATTCTGTAATGTTAGCAATGTTCCCTGAAGAGTTCACTATGCTATTGATCAGTAAAGTGTAGTTAAATAGTGATACTGAAGTACTACGAAATTTCTATGCAATGCTATACATCTTTGTAATGATCATGGGGGAGAAAAATAAATTGCAAATTCTGAAGCACGGTTGTTATTTTATCTTACATAACTAGTTAGAGAATAAAATTATCTTTGAACCATGTACATTAAATGTATTCAGAGTCTTTCTTTGAGAATATGCAGGTGCTCCCAAAGCTCCAAAGAGCAAGGCTTTCATAACATATGTTTTGGAGCCTAACGAATGTCAGTTTTAATATAATTGTATTGAACTGGCTGGTCTAGTTTCAGATTATGACCTAAAATGGAATATTCTGAGAACTTTTTAAAAAATTAAATAAGTTTAAAGACACAGACATTCTGCAATATTAATCAGTTCATGTTTCACATGTGTTAACAATATTTTGGAGGGTAAAGAGAGGGAGGAGCTGAGGAGGTAATGGATGTGCTTAATTTATATTCAGCAATGTCTGTGTCTATTGACTACACAGCCGTGCCCTAACTTTTTCCTTAAGAAGGCTTGCACTTTGCTTGCATATTTATTTCAGTGCATTTTATCTGCTGTATGCAGCAGCACATTAAGTTCTTGAGGGGGAAAAAAAAATATGCAAATATAGGTGTGTACATCCTAATAAGCAGAGCTGGCAGATCACTTGCGTGCAACGAGATTACATCCAAATCAGCTGAATCACTTTACTTTCTACTCTTTTAGGGAACAACCCATCTTCAGCACCCGAGCTCATGTCTTCCAGATTGACCCAAACACTAAGAAGAACTGGGTTCCCACCAGCAAGCATGCTGTTACTGTGTCCTACTTCTATGACAGCACAAGAAATGTCTACAGGATAATCAGTTTGGATGGCTCAAAGGTAAATTCTGTTTCAGAGAACTTGTTTTCTGATGGATTTTTTTTTTGCTTTTTTGCTTGTTTTCCAATCTGCTGTCCTTCATTTATTTTCTCAGATGCTTTTGTGAGTGTATACCTGAGAAAGAGTTTACTTGATAAAAGTGTTTGTGTGCACTGTAAAATGGTGTTTTCTATGCATTCACATTTAATAAATGTATTACCAAACTTTAGCAATGGCCTGTTACTTTAATTAAAAAGGTATTCCCTGTGAGGAGCGGTAAAAATTACGAATAGGGTTACAAGAATCTGGTTCATCTTTGGTTTGGATCATTGGTTTCAGCATTATGAAAGACATCTGTTTGGTGCCAATAATCACTTTGTAAATCCTTCTTTGTTATGTAATCTTCCTTTTTATTTCCCGTAGAGATTGTAATGATTCCTTCTTAATGAAGCTGTCCATGGTAGGCTTTTATTAAAACTCCTTTGAGTGGAGATGTTGTCCTCATCTTTAAAGTGGGTATTAAAATTAGCTTTACAAACAGCATTTCAGAAATCTCTGAAATAGAAGCATTAAAGGTATACCAAGTATAATCAAAAGCTCTAATCCCTTCGAGAGATTTTTACTTGCAACTCCTGGAGTTGTATTAGTTCCTGATGTTTGGAATTTAAACACTCTATTAGAGTATAGCAGCATTCATAAAGATTTCTTGGCTGTTACTGAAAGCTTAAAAAAAAAAAAGATTTTTTGTTTTTGATACTGAGTTTATTTTAAATGAGGAAGGAAAATTTCTGGCATATAGAAGTACATAGGAATTTTCAGTCACAGATCTCTATACGGCGTACTTAAGGTCATTTGAAATGCTGATACCAAAATGGCAAAAATTTCTTGCTAAGTTTAATTCTTATTTTTCCTTCCTTTTCTAACCTTTCTTCAAATGGCTTTGGATTCTGCCAAATAATGCCTTTTGTGCAACTGTTTGTGAAAGACTTTGGGATTGAGACAAGATGCTAGATGAAATCAAGGCTAGTGGTTGTGTTCTGTCATATCTAAATTGATCTGCGCAGTTTGAACAATCTTTATTCAGATATCCACTGTCTTATTTTTCCTTTGTTGAAAACTGCAAATCTTTAAAAGTGGTTGCCGAATAGTGTTGTTAAGCAGCTGTTAGTTGTTTGTTCTTCGTGTGCTGAAGCGTTTCTTCTGCATTTCCAGAACTATTGGCAATGTATATTGATAATGCAATCTGTCCCTCCTATTTTGTCTCACTGTGATTGCTACAACTTTGATGTGTTATGCTTCAGAAGAAAGCAGTATCTAACTGGGATTTAGGTCCCCACTCATGGTTAAGGTCTGTTGTTTTAGGTAAAGCCTGTTCTTTAGAGGTACCCTGCTCTAAGGTGTAACATGCAAAGTGTTAAGATACCCATAAAAGAGTTTTAGGAGGTTTTCAGTATATTTCCCTGAGGGCTTTTTTTTTTCTCTAGTTATAGCACCGTTTTTTAACATTTCTGTGGACTAATATAAAGGATTGCATTCAGAGCACAACCAAGTCATCTCTGTGCTCTGTGATGTACAGTTGGCTGCCAGTAACACTGTTGACATCAGAGCCTGCAATGCCTTTTACTGTCCATTGGTCAGACAGTATTAAATTTTCAAAGGCGTAAAGGCTATGTAGTTTAATTCCCCAGTTTTGAGTTTTCAAGTGAAATTGAGTAAAGATTTTTTTAACAAATTTTATCTTGAAAATGTTTCAAATTAACATGTTACCATCTGCCAGAAAAATTTGTAAAGCCACACTTATTGCTTTGCAATTCTCTTGTGCCTGGCTCATCAGCAATGGTTATATGATCCTGCTATGTTTTATTGAAATCCTCGGTGCTGGTGGGTTTATTGCATCCTATGGATTGGTACTTTAGAGAGAATGAAGTGCCTGTGGTCACTCAGTTATTGTGACTGAGGCGCTGAGTAATAGAGTTAGTAAGTGATAGCAACTCAAGGGTGTGCCCATTCAGACTGTAGTAAGGCATCTTTGAGAGAGAAATACTTGAGGTTTGAATTATAATCACATTTCTGCCCCCCTCTTTTGCCTTCTGCTGAGACCTTCCTTCCTCTCGCCTCAGGATGCGTGATAGAGCATTAGGGGAACTTTGTGAGCCTACTTTGTGCAGCCCTGGAGGAGGACATCGAAGCCTTAGGTACTCCTTGCTCTGCAAGAAGCTGAGTGTTCTGAGTCAGAGCAGAAAGTAATCTGCTGTGAAGAGCTCTTCTCCATATCAGTTTTCGTTAAATTTGGTTTTCTGGATTATAAACCAAACTAAAAACTTTCCCAGTTACCATTCAGAAAATAATTTGAAACAAAGTAGTTTACCTCCTGATTTGAAGTGGAAAAGCACAAGGTACACACGATTTCTTTCTACTAACTTGTGCACCGATTGTGTCAGGAGCATCAACAGATCTTCTTGAAAACAGAAGGATGTTTTTATGATGTGATCTTCCCTCTTGGCTGAGGGATCCACATAGTCCTTTTATGAATCTTAGAAGAGTAACTCCAAAGGAATTTCTGCCTCTCTATAATGTTGTTCTCTGACATTATCTCCTCTTAAAATACCTCATGCAAGAAATGCATTGCCCTCTAACTTGAGGACCCTAAGGTGTTCAGTGTATGGGCCTTATTTTACAATCATATAGGATATCTTGATCCCTGTGGCCCATGTCAGGCAGATCCTGATCTGAAGTAATAACTTGGTGTTACCTGAAGCTGGTTACTGTAACCTCTTGAGTAAATATCTGCCATGCAACCTTTTTCTCATACCACTCTAAGGACTGTCAGGAGGCCTGAAAAATAAAATCTCTTACATAATGTGACATGACAACACTTAGCAGTTGTTGCTAAGGTTTTCAGTTCTCATTAATTATATAATCATTTCATATCTTCTTGGAAAAAGGTGTCTTAGTATTTCTTTCTCCTGGATGATGGCAGGATGTCTCCACTGACACTGCTGATAGATGTAAAGATTATTCCAATAGCCCTGCTCTCTTCTCCATTTGGTCCCTGGCAGCCTCTGAGAAAAGGAAGGAGATACTCTTGCACTACTAATTAACTCTCTGATAATGCTTGCATAAATGCAAGACTACAAAAGTAATTTGTGCTTATCCAGAACAGGAAGATTGTAGAAAAGAGTGGCTTTTCAATCTGTAGGTTCCAGCAGATGCATGCGTGTTGTGAGCCAAAAGTCACCAATGTGTATTACTGTAATAGAGGATCTTTAACAACAGTTTAAGCTAACACATTAGAAGTGGTAATCTGCGTAATGTTAAATATAGATTTCAAGGAAGACTTTTAAAACTAGGTCTTTAGTTATTTTTTTTCCTTTGAAAAGGAAAGGTCCGTATGTTGATATTATCATCTTTCATACAAGATAAAATCATTTTTGACTACTACTGCATATTTTGCAGCTGTTGGGTCTGCAGTCAGTCAAAAGAACAGCTTAAGCATGTGCCCTATTTTTTCATAGCTAAACTTATTTGAAAGGAAAACATGAAAGCTAGTTTATTATTCGAGAAAAATTTGGAGATGATAAAATCAGCTTTCTTCAAAGGCTAAATGTCTGCCTGTCAGATCCACTCTGTTCTCTTTTTAAGATATCCTTGTACATTTATACTAACAACATTCTTAAAAGTTGGTGAAATATCTGACACTTCTTATACTGGTGACTCAACAGTGAAATCTCCTTGTATAAAGGAGAGCAGTTAAAATGCTACCTTTCTGAGCCAGCAATACAGATCTAATTATAAATTCTAATTAAAAATACTGAAGATATGAGTTTAAAAAAACTAGTGTTTTTCAGAAGTAGCTGACACTACTAGTAGTGTAGAGCGTATCTTCAGCATGCTCTAGCATTGCACTTTATTGCCTAACAAGTGTGCTTAAGAGATGTAGCATATCTAAAAGCATAGCTTTTTATTTAGAGAGAATTGAACACTCTCATTTCCTTATAAAATGACTTTATTTAATGAAGGATTCTTCTTGTATCAATCTCAGTGTAATCTTGACAATGAGAAACTTCTCTTTAGAACAAATACTTCCACCTCCTCCTCTGGAGGGGAAAAAAAGGGGGCAGAGTGAGAGCTGGAGGCAGTTTGGCAGTTGCCGTAACTGCTGACAACACAGATAGCCCCCTCTGGCCTGGGCAGCTCTTGCACAAATGTCCTCGTGGGCAGTGGGTCAGGGCACACACAGGGCCACCTGAAAACTGGCTGGTTCCTCCCACTCTTCCTGCTGGGTTAGCGTACATCCAGGAAGCCACCTGCAGATTAGAAACAGTCTCTGGTTTGGACTTGCCCTCAAAGGGAAGGTTTCTAGCAGTGACAGTACATAAGAAGAAAAGAAGCATATAAGAAAATTAGAGCTTCAGAACACTACCTTCCCAAGAGAACTGTTCGTCTCCACTGTCTCATGTTTTCTCCTCAGTCATGTGCAGCATAGACAGCCCAGTCAATGAGAGGCTGTAGTACAAATTCCAGAGATGATTTTAGCAATAAGAAACTTTGAAACTTTGTGGAAACCTAATGCTGGAGATGGCGCTCCAGTCTCTATTAACAGAGGGGATTTAGCCTTTACCTGTTGAGGTGTGCTTTGTTGAACATGTTTTCAGGCATCCCAAAATTCTGCAGGAATTATTCACAAAGTAGCTACCCAAAACCTTCACTTTGAGGCAAGCATGATCTGAGAGAACTACCTGTTTGATATCCTGAGCTCAGTCCTGATTTGCTCTTGCAGTTTAGTTTGAGCATAGTAGAGCTGGCAAAGCCACTGAGGCAGATACCAGTTTTGTTAAAATCCCCTGTGCTGCTATGCAACATGTTTGCCTCTCTATGTGTTGCAATACTGAGTGCTCTCCTGAGCAGTGCTTTCCTGCAGGACTCCCCCGCCCTTAGCTAAGAATTGGCGTATACGCATTGGAAGATGTTTGTGACCCCTAACTGGCCCCTTAGCTGTGAATTTTTCAATCTTGCCCAGTAGGATTCAGGCAAAAAGGGTGATCGTAGCCATGCTGCAGTGCTACACAAATCACAGCAGAAGCAAAGGATGCCGCTGATTCAGCTCCATAACTACCCGCTTTAGTCTCCGTCCAAAATGACATGTCACTGAAATGTTATAGGCTGGACTTAGTTTCTAGAAGATCTCAAGCTTTGGGAAGCAGTATTTGGTTTCTGTGAAAGTGAAGTTTCTCACTGCTAACATATTGAGAAAAGACTGTTATTTCCTTCACATCAGTTTCCTCTATTCAGAGAAAACAAGTATCTTCATCTGCAACAAAGAAATTGATTTGGACAGTATGGATTTTTGTTGCTGTCCTGAGATTCCTCAGTAATCACTGGCTTAGAACTATGAGGGCAATAAGGGGGCCTGTGGTTTCATGGAAGAAGAACAAGGCACATGTACATGTTTAACGCCCAAAAGGTTTTATTGACAATAACCTTTGAAATAGAGTAAGTGACATGTAAGAACAATGTAACCAGCAGCTTTTAGGGACATGGAACCCACTGGTATCATGTAAGACTTTAACGTACTTTAACTGGACAGTTTCACATTACAAGTTTAGAATATATTAGACAAGCTTTAATGTGTTGAAAGAGCAGGTAGAATTCTGAAAATTCATGAGAAATCTTCAACTGGGTTTGGTTAGAATCAAGTAACCATCCAGCAGTTGTGTTTTCTGATTACATTAGCAAAAATATGTGACAGAAAGACGTACTTTGATATTATAAACAATAGCAGCAAAATTTCTAAGCAGGATGGTTCTTCTGTACTTGGTGCATGACCTTTTTTGTCATCAGGGGTGTGTGTTTACAAAAGAAAATTCTTGCAATACAGAAGCCTGTGAAATAGCTTTTCAGTGAGAGTACATTACACAACATGCAGAAATTCAACAAATTTGCAGTGCTGCTTGAGAGACATTGTTTTAGGGGAAAAAGAAATACCCTTGTGAGGTGAAAAAAGAATTTCTAGCTTTTTTCATTTCATTAGCCTGTGTGTATGCTTTCATGACCCTTTTTAGGCTTGCTAACTAAATTACTACTCGCAGATGCAAACAGGTGGTCCACCCAGCTCTTGCTTCTGTTCCAGAAACTATGCCATTTCGTGCTGTCTGGACTGTAGCTGTGATTGGATTAAAGGAAAATTGTTCCCTAGTTGCCAGTGCATGGATCATTCATGATGCACAAGTACTTGTCTGTAATTTTCAGTTATGAGTAGTCTTAATCTTAAAAAAACAACTTTTACAACTGTTACTTTGTTTCAGGCAATAATAAATAGCACTATCACCCCCAATATGACATTTACTAAAACATCCCAGAAGTTTGGCCAGTGGGCAGACAGCAGAGCGAATACAGTCTATGGCTTGGGATTTTCTTCTGAACATCATCTTTCAAAAGTAAGTTGTAACTAATGAAAACTTTTTGGGAAATCAGGTGACCTTAAGAATTTTTCATTATTGATGTTTGCATCTTGACTCACTACTGTTTTGTTACTCACAAATTTTGTATATAAATCCTTGCAAGGTAAAAAGACAAGGTAAGAAGTAATGGCAGTAAGGTTTTAACATTCTGATATCTGGGTGGTGTGTTTGTTTTTGCACTTTAAAAAAAACTCAATGAGGAGAAGAGGGAGTTTTAAGATATTACAGGGCATGATATTAATGCTTTATCTGATCATTTATTTTCTCCCTTTCTAAAAGTTGTTCTGCCATTACAGTCTTTCATGATGGAATTTAGGATTGAATAACTTAGTTTCTTATGTATTTAGATCTTATAGGAAAAACTAGAGATGAACTTCAGTTTGGGTTTTTTCTTTGTTAGCCACATTCACTTTATTTTTCTGCTATATGTTGCGTATTATCATGTTGGCAAATTTAAACGTAAGCTAGTAAGAAAAATGCTTAATTTTCTTGTTTGGGTAGAAAAGTTGAAATGATTAATAAAGAAACTCTATGATGTATGTAAATATTTTTCTGATCTGTCTGTGTAGGAAGTCTGCTCTAATCCAAGAAAACTAGTTATTCTTTTCTTTAATGAATTGATAGCATAGTGCTGTGAGCACTGCTCTGCAATGCCATTTGCTACTGATACCCCTATGGTAGATGACTCCAACCACCTGTAGAAACCAGTGTAATTTTTGCAGATGAAGAATTTCTGTTTTGTTTGAGGAATTACTTAATAAGGAATAACTTAAACGGAGGTCTTTTGTACCAAGGATCTGGAAACCCATATGCAATAGAAAGGAATATATGGTAATCTACAGAACATATAAAGAATAACAATTGCTTTATTTCTTTAAAAGGGCAGCACATTTGAGAAAGTAGTAATTGCCTACGAAACATGGGCCTTTTAGAAGAACCATTGAAAAAATTGGTACATCTACTTAATTGAACAGTATGATTCATTTATAGAAATTCTTTCTTTCATAATGAGATAGCTTTCATTTCTACAAAACAACACAACCGCAGGAAATTTTGAATAATGTTAATAGTGCATATATGCTTGTGTATTTATGCATATGTCATTGCATCAATAAGCTTAGAAACCATCATTTATTTAAATTTGTGTAAATTGACTTAAATACGTGCTAGAGGCCCTTGCTCACCAAAATAGCAATAACTTATGCTATATGGCTTTAAAATATTAACAAAAGTGCTAATTTAGTTTGCCTCTCGTTTTTTCTTTTCTTTTTTTTTTGCATTTGTCCTTTCATTAACTTTTTCATTGCTTTCCCCAAGTGATACTGTTTTCTCAATCACAGTTGTTTCATTCTTTCATTTTTTAGCTGCTCTCAAACTGACATATAAGAGTTCTTCATATGCTCTTGGCTTCAAACTTTATATTGCTGTTTCAACAATCATCTGAAAAGCTAAAGGAGATACTTTGTTAAAAGTACCTCTTTGAATAGAAGTTATTCATGTTGCTATGATTTTGGACAAATTCTTATATCTTTCTGAAAAAATATCAAGCCACAGACCTCCTCAGAAGCTTATGATTATTAATCCACAGGACCTTACCAGCAAACAGTTTTTTATCTGAATTATTTTAGTGTGAGTTAAAATAGCTAATTGTTGCCACTGAAATTCATAAAGGTAAAACTTCTGTTTTTTTTTTTTCTGTTAATTTTATAATAACAACCCAAACAATTCTTTGATGGGGAAAAGGAAACTTTTTGTCATCAGCTTGGTACATATGATCTTGGTATCAGAAAACCTGAAATATAATTCCTGAATCTGTTGTGCAGCCTTAGACAAATCACATCTATCTGAGCAGACAGACAAGACAGAAGACAACTAATTCTCATTTGTGTGCACTAGCATAGTAGTCAAGTATACCAAAGTAGTCACTTTGATACATTTAGTACTGTAAGGCATGAAATCTAATTCAAAGCTCAATGTACTACTCGATATTAGTAACAGTGCTAGCAAACTGTATTCATGGGTATATTTAGAAACAGATTGTTCCTAGAAGTTTCCTAAAAATTGGTTTTGGATTTACTTTTCTGTACTTGATTTAATAAAGTCCCTAAGTGAAGAGCCCTATTATATATAATTTGGTTTGCATAGCATCTCTGGGCCTCAGAGAATAAAGCAAATAATCAGGGCAGAGAGAGTAAGAGTTATGTCTTGTAGGAAGCTGTATGTTCTCACACCATTGTCAGCTCAGCTGTGTCACTAATTAAGCAGATCATTTCTAAAGCTTGTAGTAAGGTTTTAACTCATGGACTATTCTTTTTTGCTTCATGTTCCCTTGTCCTTCTAAATTGATACTGTTCACTGTTGTAGATTACAACAGTGATAACCTCTTTTTCTATCATAATAGTGACTGAAAATTAGCTGGGTGAGAATCTTTGGTGGAAAAATAGTCATTCTTCATCAGACCTTTGCTCAGTGTATCAGACCACCACAAGATAGCTCATCTAAAGTGAAGCAGCAGTCAGTGATACCTAAAAGATTATTCCTCTGTTGAAGAATGTTTCTTTCCTTCACTGAATCATAGTTTGCTAGCAGAATTCCTCTAGCTGCTGTAGTAAGTAGAATAGAATGTTCTATAATATTCACATAAAATTGCTGAGACATAATCTCTCAAACACAATACAAGGCTGTGCTTTTGATAGATTATCTCTTTCCATACAGCAGAACTCTCTCAAATGTGCTGTCTCTTTGAGATGGTTGACCTGATTTACTCCAAATAACTGAAGAATATGCTAAATAGCCATAGCACCATCATAGGTACTTGTGAGATCTTCTCATAATCTCCTTCTACAACTTTTCTTTAAATTATTAATATTTCTTTTCCTTAAGTTGTTAATCCTGCAGTGAATCCTTCTTAAAGCTTAAAAACAATAGGGCTTTTCAAGTACTGAGCTTTGATTGAGCGAGTGAAGTTTTGATTGAAATAGTTGAGGTGATTGTGACATGCAGAAGTAGCCTTGATCTCTTCCATATGCTTGCAGTGCAAAGCAATTTCTTTTTATTCTACCACAGTTTAGAAACTGTCGGTGAACTTCTTATAATTTCACATTATCAGTTTTATCTTTAGCTGATGATAGTAAAAAAATATGTTCTGTATAAAAGCAGTAGCAATCAAAAAAAAATGTTTGGATACTCTAGTGTGTAGTGTATATGAGACTAGTTTCTTCTCTGGAAAGAATCTAAGCCATCTTAATAAATCTGTCAAGTTTAAAGGCACACACATTTCTCAATTGCTTCAGCTATTTTCTGGAAGAAGGTACCTTACGCTTCATACGAGAGTTCAGTGTGTAATTCTTGAATGTGGAGCTCAATATGTGAGAGAGTAAAATTCAACAAATTCATTCTTTATCTTGGCTGAGGTCAATTGGATTAGGACTCCTACTGCTGCTTTTTCATTTAGCTATTGAAATTACAAATGCTGTTAAAATTTGGAAGAAACCAGTATTGTTTCAGGTACCAAAGAATGAAACCTATTGAAGACTTCAGGCTAATAGTGGCCTCAGGCTTCAGAGCCAGATCACCCATTGTAAGGAAGGCGATAAAATCTGAACCTGAAAACAGCTACTGAAGGCAATTTACCACTGCCATTAGCCACATCTGAGGGGTTGTGGGTTTTTTATGCTATCAGGGAGAAAACTTTTTTGTTTTGTCCTATTTTTTTCTGTCATATAAACAGTATATACTATCTGAAAGGTAACTCACTTAAATGAGTATCTAATA